CAGTTTCCATCTCTCTCTCGCACTGGCAGCAGGTCCAGTGTCCCCCACCTTTTTAGGTCACCCGCACTTCAGTCCATGGCGTGGCGGCCGCCGCATAAGCTGTGAGGAGGGCGAGATGTTGCCGACGACGGCGGCGGCGGCGGCGCTGCCGCTGGACGACGACAACCTGCTCTCCGAGATCCTCCTCCGCCTCCCGCCGCTCCCGCCCTCCCTCCCCCGCGCCTCCGCCGTCTGCACGCGCTGGCGCAGCCTCGCCTCCGACCCAGCCTTCTCCCGCCGCTTCCGCCTCCACCACCGCCGCAACGCTCCACTCCTCGGCTTCATCCAGGCATGTGACGACCTTCCATCCTTCGAGCCTACTCTGGAGGCCCCATACCGTGTTCCCCCGGGCGCCTCTCCTTGCAGTCCGACCTCGACCACTCCCGTGTCCTCGGGTGCCGCCATGGCCTTGTGTTAATCCTCGACACGGCGAGGTTCCAGTTGCTGGTATGGGACCCCGTCACCGGCCACCAGCACCGCGTATCATCCATTCCCACGGGATTCGATGGGTTCAGATTTGTGACCTGCGGGGCGGTGCTCCGCGCTGCCCCCGGGGACGTCCACTTCCAGATCGTCTTGGTAACAGACGACCACGAGATGGAAGAATGGCCAGCGGTGGCCTGCGTTTACTCGTCGAAGACCGGGGCGTGGGGCAATCTCATCCTAACACCGATTCCATCCGGGACCTTGCTTTCTATTGATGTGTTGGGTGTGCTGGTTGGGCATTCCCTTTACTGGATGCTTTATGGTACTTCGTCAAATATCCTCCAGTTTGATTTGAAGAGGGAGAGCCTGGCCCTGATACCGGCGCCAGTGGCAGTGAGTATGTTTGATTTTGAAGGCATCACACTCATGCGGGCAGAGGATGGTGAGCTGAGTTTACTCTCCTTGTCAGGCTTCATCGCCCAATTATGGAAGAGGAACATCAGCTGTAACGGTGTTCCATCATGGGGGATAGTAAGAACTGTTGAATTGGACAAGCTACTTTCCCTGGATTCAGAGGAGTACGTAACCACACATGGCTTTGCTGAGGATAATAATTTGGTGATCCTGCGGGTCAATATCAGCAGCATCTTCACTGTCCAGATTGAGTCACTACAGTTCAGGAAAGTTTCCGACAACACCAAATGGTACTATTATCCATTTGAAAGTGTCTATGCTGCAGGTAATATCATGTCTTTGCACTGCCAGTATAACAAAAACAAGTTGCTCTTTGATAATGGGTTGATGGAATGCCTTTCACATCCTTTCATGTTAAGCTAACAATTTTAAGTAGTGCCGTGTCAATTATTCTTTTGCTTCTTGATATGATCTCTTCAGCACATAGCAGTTTTGTTCAATCCCAATGGTTGTGTGGTGGTGTTTATGTAATTCTTATGATTTAGAAACATATTAATTTCTGATATCTAGTTTAGCTCATGCCACCACTTATGTTTCTGTGGCCAAGGTGGAAAATTCTTTATATTATAACTGAACTAAATTTCGTTGTTGTCTGCTTGTTGACATATGCAAGAACTGTATAATGGTAGTGCTAGAGCATGTAGATGCATTGCAGTTTTTCTCAACCAATGAGGTGATGTGCTGGCACCATTCTGTGTATTGTTGATAAATATGATGTGAAGTTGTTTTTAATATTCTCATATTTTTATCAACATTACCCTTGGACAATGTGGTTGAAGTCAGAGTTGGGAAAGTTTCTCATCGGTTTAGTGTGGCAGTTATGTTCTTTTCTACAAGTTGACATATATAACAGTTGGAGACAACTGCTTGAAAAACTAGCTTGAAACAACTAAATATCAAATAGATATATGTCCTATGTATGCACATTTAGAAGCTTAAAGCAAATTATTGTTCCATTCAGTATTGCTACCTCTGCTGATCTTGCTAATAATCTTAAATCCATAATAGCGAGTTGCTTTAAAATTTACAAGACTGTTTATTTTGTTAAATTTTAGGATAGTCCCGGTCCTGCTGCAAGTGGTAAGTCCATTTTTTCCAAGAAAATAAAATAAGTTGACTTCATTTTATATAGTCATGCAATATATTTGTTTAAATCTGAATGGCCACGATCAATTATTCTCTGAGATCAGATGTGGCAACAAACCTGAGGATGTGGTAACCGTAGAAGCGGAAGATGTGGCTTTAGGAATTAACTGTCTTCCACTCTTCTTATCACTCTTATTTGTTTATATTGTTATCTTTTTCCAATAATGCTTAGATGATTCCTCTTTTTTTAGTAGTACAATCTTCACAATGATGAAGCTGATAATTGCTTTCTAGATCACAAACAGCAGATTATGCAACTTCATCTTTTCCATGAATGGACAGTACAAATCGGTTTGACTAATAACATCAATTGCCCTACAGGTATCTAGAATTGTGTTCCGGTTGCTGAGAAGCAGGAATGGACTTCTTTGCTGAAGGTTCTTTCATTTTGACAATTTCTCATGGAGATCGGCCATCTTTGTAGCTTGCACAAGTGGACCTGTATGAGTTAATCTTTGACTTGGTCAACTTGCCCTTCCCTCTGTTACCTAATTTCTGGCCACAATTAGCCAACAGGCATGATGAAGATACATTGACCTGCTTTGATTAAGTAGTACTTGCTGTGTGGTTCATTTGCTATATGCTTTCGAAGCAATCTTGCCTGTGTGACGATCCTTGCTTACATATTTGTCAGTATTTATGTGCATCTTGTTGCTGCAATAAACAGTAAACATCATAAGGTGGCTGCTCACTGCAAAGAAAAACATTGTCAGGCTGGAAATAATAAGTGCTGCTCCCCTAATGATCAGAGCAGATTTAATGCACATATAAGTTTGATTTACCAGGTTCCACTGAATTCTGGTATCGTGCAGACTGAAGAAATGTTGTCTAGATAAGCTAGAACAAAAGAAAGGAAATGCAATTCCTTTCCCTTTCCATATTCAGTAATGATTATTGGAATATTGCATTCCAAGATTCGGTTACCAAGAATTGGAAAGCTGTATGAAGATTCTGTTACCGAGAAGTCAGGTGCCAACCTCAGATTAGCATATCACTGAAGCAAGTCCATGGATCCTCTTCAGAGATGACACTTGGCTGGAGAAACTACTAATAATGCGAAAATGCTCTTTAGAGCTCGAGCTCCATGGAGCCCGGGTTTGACTTGGTCAAAATTCAAACTTTCACGTTTCAAAAAAATTTGAAAAAAAATACACACATACTTAGAGACATAAAGCATATGTCTGTAAATTTTCAGGACAAAACACCTTAAAATGAGTGCTACACAAAAAGAACAAATCTGAGACTTTTTAGTAGATGCACTATTCATCCTCAAAGTCTATGAATTTGTCTTTTTTGCACAGATCGCATTTTAGGGTATTTCATCCTCAAACTTCACATACATACACATAACATCCTTGTTTACTTGTATGTTTTTTTTCAGATTTTTTGAAATTGAAAAATGCGAATTTTGAATTTTTCAAAAAATCCGGCCTCCATGAAGGCCGAGCTCCAAAACGCCCTACTCCTAATAATGGCACTTGCTAAATAATAAGTGTATAATAATTACCATACAAGATCACCATTGTGACTAGCGCTTGAAATACAGATCTTCTCATAAGTGATAATCCGGCATGCAGATCTCAGGTTTATTTTGATCTCAGGCTGAGAGCAACTAATTAAGGAGCCCTCATTCCGAGCCTCCCCAAGGGTCGCGCTCTGGACGCCTTCCAAGGGTCACCCTCACGCATTGGACGCTCCCTCTGATTTTTTTCGCACGCGTTTTCGACTTTTTACATGGTTTCTTTTGGCTTTTCATCGTTTTTTCTTAGCTTTTGAAAAAAGCTGTATTTTGAAAAAAAATCGTTTTTTTCTTTCACTGGAGGTATGGTTTTGCTTCGCGAGAGGCACAGTCGTGCCTCTCTGAAATGAAGAAAACATGTTTTTCCCCTTCTGCATGAGGTATGGGTTTGCTTTCGCGAGAGACACGTCTGTGCCTCTCGAAAATAGGAAAAAAATGTGAGTTTTTTTTCTCTTTCACGAGAGGCACAGATTTGCTTTTGTCAGAGGCATGGCCGTGCCTCTTAGGAAACGGAAACAAACTTGCCCTCGGTTTTGGTTTTTACACCCGGATTTGTGCGTTTTTTTTGTGAAAAATAGTTCATCAAAATCAATCAACATGGTATCTAGTTTTAAAAATCTCGACGCGAGGAATCCAAGGATGAAACCGGTTTGAGATTTTGATGCGTGGTTCAAGAGATAAAACATTTTAAATAAATGGATCAACATGGGATCTAGCTTTGAAGATCTTGACCCGAGTAATCCAACAGTGAAACTGGTTCGGGATTTAGACACATGGTTTAGAGATAAAACGTTTTGAATAAAGGGATCTACAAAAAAAATACAAAATTCTCAGGTTGCGACAAGTGGTGGACTGCATGTGCACCACTTGTCGCAACTTTTTTTTTGAAAACATCAGATATATTATAAAGAATCATCGGAAGTACAAAGCACCCCAGACATAATAAAAAAAATACATCGAGGTCCACGAACAACCGAAACGACCATTGCTGAAGCAAGAACGAGTCGCCGACGCGCCGATGTTGCCGCTCCCATACCGGAGCCGGCTTGATCTTGTCGATGACAACCGAAAAGTCTTTGTGCACGTGTCCTTAAGGACCGGCGTCCAGGAGCCGCAGTTGTCGCCATTAAACCCTTGAATCAATCTGAAGTACCTGGCATCAAATCTTACCATTGTGTACGCATGACGAGAAATCCTAACCTCGCCGCTCCGTGGGGCTGGCAGGAATCTGCGTCGGAGCTATGTCTAATCTGTCTCGACGAAGAAACTTAGGATCGGAGCCCGGAAGACTGACTCGAAGAAGATGCACCGCCATTCATCTAAGCGCTGCCCTTGTGAGAACTAAAACCCTACATATCTAAGCCGAGGCACCAGGAATACCCCTCCCTGAAGGAAATATGCCCTAGAGGCAATAATAAAGTTATTATTTATTTCCTTATATCATGATAAAAGTTTATTATTCATGCTAGAATTGTATTAACCGGAAACATAATGCATGTGTGAATACATAGACAAACAGAGTGTCACTAGTATGCCTCTACTTGACTAGCTCGTTAATCAAAGATGGTTATGTTTCCTAACCATGGACAAAGAGTTGTCATTTGATTAACGGGATCACATCATTAGTTGAATGATCTGATTGACATGACCCATTCCATTAGCTTAGCACCCGATCGTTAGTTATGTTGCTATTGCTTTCTTCATGACTTATACATGTTCCTATGACTATGAGATTATGCAACTCCCGTTTGCCGGAGGAACACTTTGTGTGCTACCAAATGTCACAACGTAACTGGGTGATTATAAAGGTGCTCTACAGGTGTCTCCAAAGGTACATGTTGGGTTGGCGTATTTCGAGATTAGGATTTGTCACTCCGATTGTCGGAGAGGTATCTCTGGGCCCTCTCGGTAATGCACATCACTTAAGCCTTGCAAGCAATGCAACCAATGAGTTAGTTGCGAGATGATGTATTACAGAACGAGTAAAGAGACTTGCCGGTAATGAGATTGAACTAGGTATTGGATACCGACGATCGAATCTCGGGCAAGTAACATACCGATGACAATGGGAACAACGTATGTTGTTATGCGGTCTGACCGATAAAGATCTTCGTAGAATATGTAGGAGCCAATATGGGCATCCAGGTCCCGCTATTGGTTATTTACCGGAGATGTGTCTCAGTCATGTCTACATTTTTCTCGAACCGTAGGGTCCGCACGCTTAACGTTACGATGACAGTTATTATGAGTTTATGCATTTTGATGTACCGAAGGTTGTTCGGAGTCCCGGATGTGATCACGGACATGACGAGGAGTCTCGAAATGGTCGATACATAAATATTGATATATTGGAAGCCCATATTTGGATATCGGAAGTGTTCCGGGTGAAATCAGGATTTTACCGGAGTACTGGGAGGTTACCGGAACCCCCCGGGAGTCATATGGGCCATAGTGGGCCTTGGTGGAAAGGAGAAAGGGGCAGCCCAAGGTGGCCGCGCGCCTCCCCCCCTCCCCTAGTCCTATTAGG